TAAACTAAGAAGGAAACACATTTACCAAATTAATTCCTCGATGCACAACAAAAAAGTCATCTGAAATGCTGTTTTGCTTGTTCTGAAATACTACACAGGTTGTTCTACACAGGTCGTGTAATTGTTCAAGTATGGTTTAAATCTATATACTGTAGTAGTAGTGGTCCACCACCTGGACGTCTTTGAAGTCTTGTTTTCAATGTACTACGATTTGGGACTCACATATCCTAATCTAATCCATACTATAGTGCAGAGAGTATGCAGGATTCAGCCTGGGTCTGGTAAAGCATTATGTAGGGTTTAAGCAATGGCTGATGCTAACATGCAAAACAAGAATGCAATCAATTTACCATCAACTGTACAATTACAAAGACAATCTCCAATATTCACAAAGGAAAGCAACAGGAAACTACAACAGTCCAGACACATGAATGACAGAAATATTTTACACTCAGACTAAAAACTTGACTATAATGGTCCATTCAGCTCTGTTACCACAACAAATCTAAAATTACTGGACTCCAACTGAGCGTGCATGTGCTTACTGTTGAGCTTTAAAACAAAAACATCCAAAAATAAAGTCTGTATATAGTCCATACAACACTGAAATATGAACCACATAAAAGAGAGCTCATAGACTGGCTGTCTTGGAAATAGTTTAAAGGATGGACGCCAAAAGCAAAAATATCAAAGCCCTGCTGATATTGAGCTTTGTTATTTATTAGGCTTTGTTACCTCAAAAAATCTGTGGACAAACGCTGAACTCTGGCATCATCTGTGTGCTAATTGACATGGGAAACTCATCTGGGTACAATTTAAGTGGTTTACGATGTTTGGTTGTTGGTGCAACATTGCAATCGGCGGGCCTTCCGATTCCCCTGAACGAACCACTTCCGATTCCCCTGAACGAATACAACTTTGTTCGAAACAATCTATCAGTCTAATTGCTGTGCTTATCATTGATGAAAAAAGGAATGCAATTGATGAGTGATGCAATTGACTACCCCTAAGCTCTTGTAGGGTCCCGCTAACGTTGAGCCAAGAAATCAGCTTTAGATGACCCAGAACTAGCGATGAAATCTCCCCAAAAACAATTTCTTTATTCCTGCTTATGTTGAGTCCTGAGGGAAGAATTAAAGTTTATTGGCCAATGTTAATTGATTAGTACGTATTGCCCCAATTTTCCATAAATAACATGTGACAAAGAGCAGACGGCTCTTCTTTGAAAGCCATTGAGTTCATTAACGTTCAAAAATGGAGCACAAAGAGTAAATAAATACATAATCCACGTTAAAAATGAAAACGAATCTGTACGCTCAAGTCAAATGAGGTGATAGCAGCATGTTAACCTTTGGAGGGGACGGTCTATAACAGATTATAAAAGAAGTTTGAACAACACAGCCTCTGCATGTCACACACCTCATTTATTTTGGTGGTACCTAAACGCCAAGTGGATTATCTTCACTACATGTTCTGACATCATGTGGATGGGCCATCAGCCATTTGCTTGACACAAAAATGTGCTAGGAAGCTTGGTTTTGCCTTGAGCCTCACTTCAGTCGTAGGCATGCTGATGGAAATCTCACCCCCACAAGACACATCATGCCAAGTTAAACATTGGTTGATGTGTCTTGATTGATCGCGACGCATTTCAATGTTTTTAAGTTACATATATGATGTACATTATATAAGAATGGGATTTGAGAGCTAGAATAAATGCCAACATTTCTGTGAATAACAGATTAAGTTGTTCTGTTCGTCACACAGAGCTACAGTATTGTATGGCTTCAAAATAGTTGGAATACAGCACATTAGTTATTAGGTTATTATAAGTTAGCATTTTTATGACGAAATGAAGTGAAGCTAAACAGTGTGATCACTATTTTCATTGTAGGAAAAAGAGCAGCTTCAACAATCTACTAAATATCTCCTTTTGTGTTTTATGAAAGAAAAAAAAATGGTGGTGCTTGCCCGTCTGAAAGTTGATTTTTAGAAATGCCAGGGTGTTGCTATGTGGTTTCTAAGGTGTTCTGGTTAGTCCATTGCTATGTTGTTGTTAGGGGTCACAGGCCCAAATTAAAAGAACGAAAATAATATTCCCGCTCTAAATATGGCTTGGGGTTCCTCCTTAAATATATACAAAAATGGGATTTGTAGCACATTTTATCACCCACCAGGAAAATATCACAAGACCCATCACTCCTTATACAAGCCGCATGATATCATTTCCGCAGAAAAAAAATATTTTTCAAAGTTGTAAATATTAAGATAAATACAATTAGTGTACTTTTTACAGGAAAATACTATTTCATACTTTGGGGCAGATTTACTAAACAGGGGCAAATTAGCGTGAGAGCGTAATGTGAAAGCGTCGATGTGAGTGGAAAGTTCGGCATACACGCAGTCAGATCATTTCCATAATGACCAACACAATCTACCAAGAGCAGCGCAAATTAGCGTTAGGTTTAAGACATGCTTTTTTGAGGCGTTAAATAATGGCGCAAACACCAGTAGATTGACTAGCGCAAACCTTAGTAAATCACCTTGCGTGATTCATTTAAATACTCTCCTCCCATAACATTTTGCGCCTGAAAGAGAAACTCCTATAAATGCATATGCAATAAGGTCAGCCGCAAAAATCATTGTGTGTTTGTGAGAGAGAGTTTAAAGGGACTGCAGTGAAGACAGAAAGCAAAAAATCTGAGAGAGCAGGTGACACGCTGTGATGAGTTCAGTCCAGAGCCGTTATTAGAGTAATGAGAACTACACAGGGGAAATATTGGCATGGACCCAGAGAGAGAGAGAGAGAGGGGGGAGAGCTGAGGTGAGAGGTTACATAAGGAAACAGGACTGTCTGGACACAGATTTCATTCCATATATTTAAAAGGCCATCTGGTGGCCACAATCTCAAACTCCTCTCCACATCTGCTCTTCATTCCCTATCCTCATTCTTTTATCCTTTCCTTCCTCATTTGTTCCTAAAGTACATTAAATACTCTTTACATAGTAGCAATCCAAATTATCAAATAATACTTGCAATATCCCAGCACCGCTATATCCTCGTTAAAACACGGCATAATCCTCAATCACACTTTATCAGTAATTAACTTCAGCCTCTGATGTGACGCTTCCAACTTTTATGCCATCAGATATTATTATAGGATGCGCTCCAAGACTCGTCTCAATCTGGATTTGTTTAGTAATGCCTATTTTTTTCTTTTATTCTACGTTCCATGGCTCAGAGAAGTTGTTTATATAAATCTGTTTACATATGCATAACCACTGTAGACAAGACACACAAACCATGTCACCTAAAAACATGTCTTTAATGGGATTTTCACTAGTATGATGTATGTGTAAACGCAAGCAAAAACGCATACATCCATATAAGTTCAAAATAGTCTACACGTTGGTGTGACTTTAAACATGGGAAAACATACAGACAAACTCTACAAGTGCTATGCTAGGTCTGAGAGTTGACGGCCTTGATGCTGGAAATTTATTACTCGTTTAAAGTTAAGCAATTAACTGCCTTCTATTTATGCAATTATGGATTACAGCAAAATATGTAATTATACACTACTGTACAACTTCTGCAGCCACAAAAGTCATTCATGTTTTGCAGGAGGGGTTTCAATATGCACCATCTGGTGTGATTAAAAAAAACTGCTTGAGAAAATATCCTACAATAACAGTTACTTTAATAAATCTTAGAGAAATATTTAACCCCTCATTTTAAGGCTGTGCATTATATAGAGGAAGGAATAAAACCTCTTAAATATTACATCAAGAATATTCCACATAACTCATGAAGTGAAATAACAGAGATGTCTAGATATACACACACAAGACCTCAGAGTTAAAAATCTGCCAGCTGCTGGTTAACAGTAGCCTTCCTAAAGAAACCCAGACACCGACAAACAAACACACAGTGTAACCTGGTTGTAACTGTACATGGTTGTAACCTGGCACTGCCAACTCTTTACTTTCCTGGAATATCCATACTAGCTTTCAGTGACAGGACTGAGCACGCATTAATGGAAATTGCCAAAGGGGAGAGCGGAGGAAAAGATGGGAGGTGTGGATGCAGGTTGCCAGCGAAGAATATCTGAGATTCCAGTACCTGACCTGACCTCTGTAAGTGACCTCCCAACGTGACTTACCTGGGAGGCTTCCTTTATGAGCAACCAGGGGACAGTAAATCTATGAATACAAGCTTAAAACTGGCTCAGTGTCATGTACAGGAATTATATATATATATAGTCTGTCAAACAATTTTCTTTTAAATGAGCGTTTTTATCAGGCTCCTATATTTAGGTTCAGTAATTTCACTTTATTAACTATGAAAAGGTTATTAGTCAGTTATTGAAATGCCGTATTTTCAAAAATGTCACTAAGAGTAAAAAAAAAGAAAAAGAAATGCTCATTTAAAAGAATATTTTATGTCTTTAAATACAGTATATATATATATATATATATATATATATATATATATATATATATATATATATATATATATATATATATAACATTAAAAATAAATGACAACTTTTTACCTAAATTTGGCAGTAAATTTTTTTTATAAAAAAAACCTTGCAAGGTTTGGTTACCAAATATAACAAAAAAAAAACAATACTGAAGCAGCAAGAAATTTCTCACACTTTTATGAAGTACCAATATAACCACCTGATATGCAAGTCAAACTATACTCTACTAGTGATATCATCCCATTACCACACTACAAAATAAAGAAACTTCACTTGCATATGTAACAGTACACACACACACTGTTTATTGCACTTCTTTCTGACAGCAAATGTCAGCCCTTTAATGATGAATGCATGGACAGAAGAGCTAACATCACATAAAATCTAGTTACAGCTGTACAGACATCTTCAGACACAACTGTAAGCTGTTTGTGTAAATTGTGATTAAGTACAACAGCCATGTCCACAATAATTCATGCACAGAAGCATCAAGTGGATAGATTGAACCCTCACCTTGCAAGCAGCGCTGAAACTCCCAGCAGCTCAGTGTGTGTGTGTGTGTTCCTGTCCCGCTCCTCTCACTCTCAAACTGACGCCTCTCATCCACAACTCAACGCACGGCTCTCATTACACTCATATGCAAGGAGAGGGCGAAAGAGAGAAGAGAACTAGTGAAGAGAGAGAGAGAACTTAGCCCAGCCCAAAAAGATAAGTGAAGCTGGAAAGACTGTCCCAAGCTTGAGAAACCTTTTTTGGGTTACTCATTTCTACCTTCATTTCAGACTCTCTGCTGACAATTCAATTAATTACTTTTTCCCTCCAAAGTCTCAAAACATCTAGTGCTTCCACCTCTCAATCTATCAGCTCTCTGGAGCAGCTTTTCCTCAGCAAACTTTTTTTTGTGTCTAGCCTTCACTCTCCACTCCTTTACACACGTTCTCTCTCTCTCTCTCAGCAGCTGGAAAAGGGAAACACACCTGCCCGATTCTTATTAAAGGAGGTGATGACTCCCTATGAGGAGAACTTGCTGAAATCCTCTTCCTTTTTTCCTTTTCTTTTCACGAAAACTGATGACAGATTCTCATTTGCTTGTACTGGGGAAAATTGTTCTCTCTATATCACTGTTGTTAATCTTCCTTTCCTCTCTGTAGTTTCTTTTTGGATTTTTATCACATTTAATTTGGGATTGGGAAACAAAGCAAACTGGATTTGAGGACTGTGCCTAAATGATTATCATCCTACAGATAAGCGTTACATTACCTGACAGTAGATATTACGAATCTTAAAACCATTTTAACTGACGCTTCCAAGATGAACACTTTTGCACTTTCAACAAATTCATCCATTTCATTCAACTAAAACGTTACCTTGGTGGCATATATCAGTAAACAGAATTTGCAGCAATGTTTATTACACCATAGCAAGTCAAATCTGTGTCAACAAGTCATAAAATCAATCTTTGTATGATCAACAAATGCAATATATGTAATGTAACAACTAAAGAGGGTCAAGAACTGAACCCTGGGGGACACCTTGATTTGGGGACCGGTAGATTTGTAATTCTGAATAAGGATAAATATATTCTGCCTATTAGCTAAGACGTAAACCAGGAGAGAGGTGTACCAGTGGTTCCAATAACAAAATAGAGCAGCATTGTACTACTAGAGGTACCAGAATACACAGAGAGGAGATCATTGACAACCAAGAGGAGAGCCATCTCAGTACTGTGCATTGGACTAGAAATAGGAGGAAGTGTATATATGAAGTAAAAACTATTTCCAGGGGGTATGACCAGGTGGGAGATATCATGTATTGGTCTATATTTACATAAATTGAATGGGTCTAAGTGTCATGATTCCTGTCTTGTGTTCTCCTTGTCTCGTGTGGACTTTTATTATTTCCTGTTCTGTGCCATGTTTTGTAGTCCTTTGTAGTTTTTCTCGTTTAGCACTCCCCTAGTGTTAGCTTCTCTACAGAGCCCATCCATTGACCTTAGTCTTGCCTTGTCCTTTGTTCTGATTCTTGATTGTTTCCTGGATTCACCCTTAGCTTAGCCCTTTGGACTCATTTGGATTTTTGCTGTTTACCTGGATTATCTCTCTTTGCCTTGCCCCCTGTTGGATATTGTTCGCCGATCATCTACCCATGCTTGGCCTAAGGATTACTCTGTGTCATGCCTCTGCCATACCTGTTTGCTGTTTGTTGACCTAGCCTGTATTAAGACCATGTTTTGGAATAAAGCCTTGCATATGGATCCGCACGTCTCTTGTCTTGTTCGGCCCGTTACAATAAGCCAGATTTCTTAAGAAATGCAATCATTTTTTTATTATACTGAAAGTGTAGCAAAAGCAAGACAGTTTATCAAGTGAAAAGTAATAACAGAAACTTCGACAGAAACAAAGCATTTGGAAAGAGATCTAATGTGAACAAACTTTTCAGAAAAGTTAGATATAATTCATTGAATTCGTAGAATTCAGAGGAAAAGAGTGTTCATACTTTTCAGAGGCAGATGTAGCATGAACAGGAGTCTGGGTGAGCCTATGGACATTAAGGCAACTGTAGGAGTATCCTGCAGATGTTTAATGACCAGAGGTTATCATGACTCAGATATTTCCATGCTGAATAGTAAGAGTATTGAGAGCATCCGAACTGACATCTGTACTGGAGATGGATAGATGGACGCTGTTGCAATAGGATTTTAGAGAATGGAGACTTACTGAACAACTGTACTGGATAGATGGTGAGCAGATAAGGTGAGCTAGATCCTTTGGCAATATGTAAAATCCAAGTCTGGCTAATGATTAGTTCCAGAAAATGTAATTATTCAAACCAACCAAGTAGAAGGTACAAATTCAAAAACAAAACACTATGCAAACCAACAGGACCATGTGAGCAGCAGCTGCAACTTCAGGATGCTCCAGGGATGAACTGGCATCACATCTCATCACATAAATGGGTGTTTCTTCAACTATCTTCAATGGACACATTTGGTCTTTTAGACTTTAAAATACTTTTCACAAATTTAATTTGTCCACCAACAATGATATTGATCTTTTTTTTTCCTGAAACATCATTAACATTTCTACCACATTGTAATTTACATCGTATTACAAGCCATGTTTAAAACCATTCTTAGATGGAAATTATGTTTTAAATGAGTTTGGAAGAAAACGTCCAACTCCTTTCTGCTAGAAAGGCTCATTTCATAGCTTAGAGGGGTGGAATCAGAAAGGACCATGAAGCGCAACCACACCATGCGTAAGGGCTCGTTCACACAGAACACATTTTTGCAAGGTCTTGAGTTTTTTCAAAAGTTAAACTTATTAAACTGGAGCGCCACGTTTTTAGAACGCTGTGTCATGCGCGAGGCGGTTATATGTGTCCGTCTAGCGTGTGTTTACATAGAAAAACAATGGAAAAGTAGCGCATTTGAATGGAAAACGTGTTCTGTGTGCAGCCCATGAGGCTACTACTCGAGCAAGACACTTACTTCATGTTGTAACTTCAAGTTCTTCATGGGAACAATAAGTTTGTTGTAAGTTGCTTTGAATGAAAGTGTCAGCTAAACTACAACTGGACGGGCTCATGCATTGGGGAGCAGGTCCAGAGGAGCAAGGCCAGCCGGTCATCATCCAGAGGTACACTCAGCTTCCTGGAACATGCATGTGTGATCCAGGTTAAGCAAGTGAGAGATGCAATGGTGGGCCCATGGCAGCGGTGACTGGTGTGCAATAAGCTCCATATGTGCCGAAGCATACGCTGCCAAAAGAGCTGTTTTCTCTCGGTCACATCCTGGGTAATTGGACGAGGGCCAATGATAAGAGGGACGGGGCTACAATAATTGAAATGTGCACATGCCCTCCCATCAGACAAAGAAGTGTTTAAAAAATGTTACTTTTTAGAAAAATATTTTGAATTGGTTATCACATACATTGGCAATGCACAAAGTGGTAAAATAAGTGTTTATAGACACTTTATGAGTGATCTCCGGGTCTGGGTAATAAAAAATGTTTATTTTAGCACATCATTGCCACATATGTAAATATGCTTTTGGGAAATGCTAACTTGAATAAAAAGTTTCTTTCATTTAACTCAAGTTGAACTTGTTTCGGGAACAGGGGGTCTGTTTTTGATCTCAATTTCGATCTCGATTTTTATCCAGTGTTTTTCTTATTTCATTCTTTCCAATGTTTTGAACTTTGTGGAGTGCTAAAACATAAATGGATGAGATATTGTCAAATGGCAGACACATGGCGCAGTTCTGGAAAACAAATTAACAAATGTTTTACAAATCCGAAGCCAGGTTGGTAAAACTCAATCATATGCAATTCTGCTTGGCTGCCCATAACAGATTTCTTGTTTAAATCCGTATAATCCAGTTTTAAGATCCATTACGGAGCCAGCTGTTATCAGTCGATTTCCACTCACTATCTTGACTATTTTTGCTGGAATCAAAGTAGCAGTGATTGTTCAAGAAACAAAGCCATGACATAAACTAAAGCAGGACTTGCAGTGGTTTTGGCTGTGAGACAGGCTTCATGATCACATTGCCATAAAATGTTAATAACAGGAATCTAGAAAACTTTTTACCGTTTCATTGTTGACACAATTTCAAGTTCATGAAATATACCAGATGATGAAGGTAACATTTACTTACAATATGTTCACCTATCTAGTTTTAATGTAAATATAATTAGGAGTATAACAGACTATATAGGAATATAGAAATGGTCAGCAAGTAATCTTTTCAGTAAAATCATGTTTACACACTGTTTACGTGGCTATAATATTGAAATAACTAATTGTGACTCTAGGCCTTCCTTCCTGCAAAACTGTGGTTCTCATGCATAGCTTGAAACTGCAGACTGACTGGATATGGTTGGATATAGAGTGATTAACCCTTTAGCAGGTGTACAGTAGAGGTTGCCCAACAATCTGAACTCAAGGAAGTGTTACGGAAGAAGAATCTGCTCAGATGCATAAGGAATGTGACAGATGAAGTCTGGTTTTCAGCTGTGATTGTGCAGCACTATTCTGTTCCCTGAGGACACTTGCCATGAATGCAGCATTATTTATTGTGTGAATCATCCTCTGATTGTGTTCACCATCAGTCAAAGCCGTCACTTATGGGAATGGACGTGATATGACAGGACGTGGAAAGATAGTCTTCTTTGGCCCTCAAATCCAGACATAATGCTTGAACACCTCAAAGTGCCTGCAGAGGTAGTTTAAGATGCATACAAGATGTGATTTGGCTAAATCTAAACGCATCTGGTTGTTCAGGCCAAATACAAAAACGTTACTCCCGCCAAGTGGAATTTTGTCAGCATACAGAAGTTTAGGAGTACAGAACTAAGCAAGCAACCACAGATGAGACACACGAACAAAGAAACCTCAAAAGCCAAAGACCAATTACCATATTGGATGGACAGATAGACGCAGAGTCAGATAGATAGATAGATAGATAGATAGATAGATAGATAGATAGATAGATAGATAGATAGATAGATAGATAGATAGATAGATAGATAGATAGATAGATAGATAGATAGATAGATAGATAGATA